CCCTAAACCCCTAGACACTAAACCCCTAAACCCTAAACCCCTAAACCCCTAAACGCCTAAAGCCTGAACCCTCAGAGCCGATAACTTTCACCTAGTTCTGAGCTTGACCTTGAGTTCGACACATCTGCAGCTCCGGATCCCTCTCAAGCCCAAACCCTAAAACCCTAAACCCTACCTATAGTCTCCCTTGTAGTTCCTTTTTGTTGGTTTAACCAATTCTATATCAAGGATCCTAAAAGGTAACCCCAAGAAGGAACTACAATGGAGACTATACGTAAACCCTGAACCCCTAAACCCCTAAACCCAAGCCCTAAAGCCCTAAAGCCCTAAACTGCCCCAAGCCCGAAACCCTGTAAGCCTTACCCTAAACCCCCAACTGAAGACACTGTGCCGCCGACCCGGAGTAGCTGCCCAAGGCCCGAACTCGTTGGCTTTTTCAAAGAAACATAGGATTCAGGATTTTGTTTTTGCAACCCCAAACCCTGAATCACTGAACCACAAACCCCAAACCCTAAACTCTAAAGGGTCTAGAATGATACTTAAGCTTCTGAGTCGGCCGTCTGTAGTGGGGCCCCTCTTCCGACGGTTAAGCTTTTAAGCCAGGGCCATTCGTCTGATCCCGCAAGAATCCCTACAAGCAGCAAAGAATGTTGAACCCGGAAACCTAAAACCTGGAAGACCTTAGATTGGGGCTGCAATTATGTCCAACATGATTCCTCATAAGACTATGGGGTATATCCTAAACCCTAAACCCTTAACCCCTATACTTGGTCTGTTATGGGGTTCCTTACTATAATCATGCGTACTGTACTAAACCATAGAACTCGACGCTGATTGCTAAGGCCGTTGTATTCGCCGCGAAACGTAAGTCCTTATAAACCATCAACAAGCTCCCATAGTGTTTAGGGTTTAGGTTCTAGTGCCTCCTCATGGGAGCGCGCGGGCCCCGCCGGAAGCCCCGCGCAAAGCCACGAGCCGCGTCGAAGTTCCGCCGTGGTCGTCGGAGGTGAGCCGCTCAGGGGTGTAGGGATTTAATTAAGTAGTATAGGAACCTGATTTAAAAAACAAACCTGGTCTTTATTAGGGTTCTTAATATGAACCCTAATATATTTGGGGATATAGCCCCAGGGTTTCTTAATCAGGTTCCTACAGTAGGTATTCACGTTTGCAGTTGGGGCCGCAAGAGACGAAGGTTGTGCTGTTCGGTGTAAGGGTTTAGGGTTTAGGGTTTAGGAATTAACTCGGCTGAATAAAGGAAAAGGGGTTACAGCTCTTGGCAAGCCTCTATGCGGCCTTACAAGCCGTGTCAACTAAATATACATAAGAATAGTAGCAAAAGAAAATGGATATGTGACTAAATCATGTTGACGCCGCTTGAAATCCTAGGTTAGGGCACGCGGTGAAACGGGGCTGAAAGTTTAAGCTGGGGGTTTTCTTGGCTTGGGTGCAGGAAAGCACAGATGTAAGTTTGCTTGGGGGTATGTAGGGCAGGAAACCTCTCCCTGAACCCTAAACCGTGGAGGGCTGTAGGAGTTCTTCATACCCATAGGCTCCTAAGTAGTTCCTCTTTGTGGTTTATATTTAGAATCCTACAAGGTAATCCCGAAAAGGAACTACTAAGGAGCCTATGGGTAAACACATCCGAGATAAAGAAGCAGGTTGTCCTCGTATTTGGAAAATCCTCGTAGCCTTGGACGCTTGATCGACTCTCGAAGAGTATGAAACACCCACTCGAACTGAAGCAAACGCTTAGAGTTCTGCTTGATGTGCACAGAAGTCTTGGTGCATGCACTTTTGATCACTTAGGGCAAGACAGCCACCAAATACACACCGTAGCTCCCTAGCCACTTTAACCTTAAGATCAGAGAGCAGAGGGTACCCTAAACCCTGAAGCCCTAAACCGCAGACCGTAGTGGATGTGGAATCTTACGATGCCAACCTAGCTGGTGGGAGCTTCTGTTTTGGTAAAGCCGCAAGCTGGAGACATATGGGCCATATTTTGCCTAGCAGTAGACGTGTTGTTGTAACACTGTTACCGATGGTTTCCCATAGCTATGCTGTCTATGCCTAAGCCCGAGACCCTAATTATAAACCCTATACCGCCTATACCTATACTGCGTGCTAGCACTGGTGAGTACTTTGCCAAGACCTAGAATTCTACTGCGATGACGATCATGAGTGATTGCATTATCCCTACTACCGCGCGGAGGATGCCTTCTGTTTTGAATTGCAGCGGTGGTTGCAAGTAGGTTTAGGGTTTATAGGGTTTAGGGACAAGTGTTGCTTGATTTTGACGGGAAGTGTTGTTAGAAAGCAGAAAAAGCAGTTGCAACATCTGAATGGGAAGCATGCTGCACACGTTACAGGCTCTAAGATATTACATGCCAGGCGTAACCTATGAATGCTGCACATTTTCTAGATGAGAGCCGCCATGCTTTGATCTTTGTTTGATTTAGCCTGCAAATCAATCTCGTCTCGAGCACCGGTGCTGCTGCTGCTGCTGCTGCTGCTGCTGCTGCTGCTGCTGCTTCCACCGCTGCGTTGATTGTTGTATGAAGGCTTGTGGTTTCTGCTTTCCTTGTTGCTGCCCGCGGCTTCTCTGCAGCTTTCTGTCTCGCTGCCTGCGCACACCCAAGACAGAATTCGAAGTACAAGCTTGCGCACAGGTGCAGGGTCACTGAGCAACAAAGCTTCGTCCAGCAGCTTTGCGGCCACAGGATTTCGGCCCACCGGATGTAACGGCGACCACGACCTTTCAGCTTTGAAACAGATTTGCACACCCCCTGCTCGACCTTGGGCCCTGAAGAAACCCGCAGCACTGCGCGTAGTGGGGTCAGCAGAAAAGGGCACACTTTTCGCAAAAGCCACCCATCTGCCCTTTCTTTGCCCCGCTGTGGCTAATCATAGCATGGTTCTATGCGGCCGACTGGGCGGCTGTCTGCATCACGGATGTGGGTATCCCCCATAAAATCCCCCAGGGCTAGCTGCCGCTAGATTCTAGATGCCTGGAGGGACGAATGTTGCGTGCTGTCCATTCAGAAACATGTAGCAACGTAGCGGGCGGCCCGCAACAGCCCAGAAAACAAGCAACACTGGCACGGACCGGCACATCTGAGATTGGGGTTTTGTCGATTTCGGATTGTCGCGTAGAGATTCGGGAGTTTCGGATGTTGTCCAGGTAGGGCGTGTAGGGTTTGGGGTTTGTTTCTGGGGTTTGGGTCCACCCTGAACCCCGAACCCAGAGCTCTACCCAAAAAACTAAGCCATTCCCGAAAAAATTCACACTCAGGGATTCCGCGAGGGCCAACTGACCCTGCGCAATGCTGCCGTCTCAGTGAAAATTCTCCTGACATTATTACGCATGCAGGCCTGCATCCCTGTGAGTCAGAAAAGACTGGAGATTTCAGCAGTCTAGCGGTGACCGTGATCATGTAAGACAGCGTTCATGTCAATGTGGAGCGGTGGAGCGTGTCTCTGCATCGTTCTGTGTAGCTCGCTGCCAGGATAGCCCCACATGATTCTCAGCAAAATTAATCAATGTAATATTACAGCTTAAGGTGACACGCAACAGTTGCCGCGATCAGTGTAACTTCTAGTTCTTCCCAGATAAAAGACCTAATTTAGTAGAGTGAAGCGAATCAAGCACTCTTTCATGTCTTCATTCGTTTGTATTCGCTTCACTTTGCATTAAATGAAATCTTTGGTTCGTGGTGTTCTTGGTTTAATTAATTCAAGCCTCACCTGGTTGTGTTATAACTGATTAGAACAAAGCACACGACGCGAGCGGAAGTAGGAGAAGATGACACAGCCTATGATTGAATGTAGCGTAACAGGAAGGAAGTTAATGGTGAACAAGGTGCGGTTAATAAGCCAAAGGAATCAGCCTCGGAACGTTTGAAAGTTAGGTCCAGGTAATAAGAGAAATGTAGCAGGACAGACACCATCAGAATATGGGTTTGAGTTATAATTAGGACTAGGATCTAGGTCTGTATGAACCATTAAGATATAGGTAGTAAATATGACCTGGATTTAGATAGAAATATGAACCACTTGTGCACATCCCGAGTGAATCATGAACTGAAGTTCAACGAGCACCGGCCTGCGACTTGGCGGGAAAGGCTGGATTCAAGGGCGTTGCATGCCGGCCACAAGGGTTTCTAATCAAGGGAATCTTGAGTTTAACGTCATGTGCCACCGTCTGAATGTGTGTGGCACTCACCTTGATGGAACCTGGTTTAAACCGACCTTTCGTAAACACCGTGTCGGCTGCTTCACCGCAGAACTTCAGTACAGCTCCCCCGTGTCGCTTAGCAACTCCACTTGTGTTACAGCTCTCTGCTTCAGGAGTGCGCGACAGCATGTTCCGGTTTGTTCGCCAGGATCCGCCACATGCGATCTTTTCTGCTCAGTGGAGAGAAAGCAGGCCGGAGCTTGCACATGACAGTATAACTAATTCCAGCAACGCCGATATGGTGTGTGAATGGTGAAGAGGGTTTTGACACTGGGTGCGCCAGACTGCATCGCATTGTGTCGACTGTGGTGTTGAGATGTCCCATGAAACATTGCGCAGTTGTAACCAACACAGTTAGAGTTTGCTCATGCCACCATCAAACATACGTCGCGCAATGTTTTCAGCAAGTGCCCTATCAATTTGAGCCGATAGTTAGTGGAATGCCCAATGTGGCAACTTGCCACAAGAAAGCCCGGTGAATGCATGGCAATGGTGCGGTCGTTTCTAGAGCTTGCACTGATGGCAGCAACATCCAAGCTGTGACAGCATCTGACCTTCAATCTGGAACTGTTTGTGTGTGTGTGTGTGTTGTAACAGTGCACTTCGGGTTTTCAACCTCATGTACTTCAATCAATCATCGATGTGTCGCGTTGATGCGATATCTTGCTGTGCTGGCAGTTGGCCAGGTGGCTTGAAATTCGGATGGTATCTATTATGCGCGTGTCATGTAACTAAGTTCATGCAGTTCCTGCTATCATCACAGGCCCAGACATCCAGAACATTGATGCTGAGCCCGACGACCCTGAGGCTGCGCAAGACAGAGTTTTTGTCAAGTGCGGCATGGTTAAGATATGGTGAGACTCAGGCTCACAATATTCTGGGTTGTGTTTCGAGTACTAAATCTCGCGAGCCATGTTTCGTCTGTGGTTTGAAACTTGTTTGCAATAACATGGGATTTTGGCAGGTGAAAAAAGACAAAGAAAACGCATGTGCAAAATCGTCCAAGCTGATTTCCGAAAACCCAAAATGCGATAATTGGGCCCCCCCCCCCCCATGACAGGGTGCTATAAATCCCCCGCCCGCCCCACCCGACCCCCGACCCTGCATCAACACACAAGGCGGACAATGCGGCTCTTAACTTCTGCATAACTATCGCGAAATGTCGCGCTTATGCAGAAGTTGCAGAAGCTACGCGAATGTTTTGCGGAAGTGGCTGTCTGTCTTACGCAGCCGGGGGACTCGTTTATGCAGCGATGTTCGATCAAAGTAACGGGTAAGCTCCGGAAATCATAATCGGCCCCAAACGCCAGTCCTAGACCCCATGCCCCCCAAAAAGGCCTTAACCCTCCCTCTCCCCGACACTCTCTCAAAAAAGGCCTAAACGACTAAACCCTAAACCGCCGACCCCAAGGCCAGATCCCTAAAGCCTTGAAGACCCGAAAGCCAAAGCCGAGCCACTGCATAACCCTGCCTCCCCCAAACCGGTTTACAGCCATTCCTACCGTGCGCAGCCACTCAATGCACAACTGGCGCAACGGCAGCACTGACAATCCACAGCCACTCAATGCACAATCACAGCACTCACAATTCACAACCGACAAGCAACCTGGATGTCCCGTCCGGCCTGCACCGACTACCCACCCCCCCTCCGGTTCTACACCCAAATCAAAATCTCCGAACTCGCAAAGTCATAGTTTGAATGTGTGGTTTCCAAAAATGGCAGCGGCTTAAGCAATGGATGTGATAAGCGGGTGCCGCTGCCTAAACAAAGCTTGCGACCTTTCGTAGTTTCGAGGCATAGCATGCAAAGCAGTGGTGTCCACTTGGTTGAAACCGGCTGAACGTTCGATCATTTTGGGGCCTTCATATGCATAAAATTAAAATTGTCGGTACAGCATCCCAAGCAGCACGACATTATTGTGCTTTGTAACCGAACTCTTCGTTTTCTAGTGTGCCACTGATAACAACGGCATGTTCTCGCAACCCAAATCAAAATCTCCGAAACTCGCAAGGTCTTAGTTTAAATGTGTGGTTTCCGAAAATGGCAGCGGCTTAAGCAATGGATGTGAAAAGGGGTGCCTGAACAAGGCTTGCGACATTTAGCAGTTCCCAGGCATAGCCTGCAAGGCAATGGTGTCCACATGGTTGAAACCGGCTGAGTGTTCGATCATTTTTGGGGCCTTCATATGCATAAAATTAGAATTGTCGGTACAGCATTCCAAGCAGCACGACATTATTGTGCATTGTAGCCGAACTCGTCGTTTTCTACTGTGCCACTGTTAACAACGGCATGTTCTCACAACCCAAATCAAAATCTCCGAAACTCGCAAGGTCGTAGTTTAAATGTGTGGTTTCCGAAAATGGCAGCGGCTTAAGCAATGGATGTGAAAAGGGGTGCCTGAACAAGGCTTGCGACATTTAGTAGTTCCGAGGCATAGCCTGCAAGGCAATGGTGTCCACATGGTTGAAACCGGCTGAGCGTTCGATCATTTTGGGGCCTTCATATGCATGAAATTAGAATTGACATGATTGTGCCTTGGAGCCGAACTCTTCGTTTTCTAGTGTGCCACTGTTAACCGTTGCCCGGAGCCGTAAATCCTACTACACTGAGGTCCTCCTCCAAAAGCCCCTCACCCACTGCTGGGCCAGGCAGAACGAATTTCCGAGTCTCAGCTTACTGCGGAGCCTTGCATGCTATTCAAGCCAACCTGTGTGGTTCGTGAAAGATTTCGCTCAGGCACATGGTTCTGCTGGGATGGTGTGGCACCGGTTTCGCGGGTACAGGTAAAGCAGAACGGTAACCACTCAAGAAAGTCTAGGGTTTTGGGGGACTTGGCTCCCTGGTTGCGAGCCGAGCAGATCGTGATAACAGGAGGGACGGGCGGGAGCAGGATCAGGATTTCTCAAGGCGGGGCTGTCTTAACAGGGAAGCAGAAAATCACATTGGCATTGGTGTACAAACAGAGTGTGTGCTTCCTATTTTTGGACTTGCTCATGTTCAGTGTCCCACTTGGTAGCATAGTGTCGTCTCTGCATCTTCGAACCCAAACCCCTCGCTTCCCCCTAGTTTGATCCGAAGACCGGGCAAGCAGAAGGCTCAAGTCTAAACCCTGAGCCCCAAAACGGAAGTTTAGAAGGTTGCCGCCTTAGGGCTAACCCTAAACCCTATAAATCCTAAACCCTAACCCTAAACCCTAAACCATCCGAAACCTTAACCCTGAAACCTAAAACCCTTAAGCCTTAGGGGAGTGTGATCTTATGCACGTATTGCTCCGGGCCGCAAGGCTTTCACTCATGGCGGTGAAGTTAAGATCTGTTGTTGGAGGTTATTCTGCGTTGTGGTAAACAATTTAAATAACTTAAACTATGTTAGCATAAAAATGAAACCATGTTGTCCATTATAGATACCCATTATGGTAATGCACATTAAGTTCTTGAGCTGAGTCTGTGAGTGGTTTCGGTCATGTGGAAGGGACGGGAAGGTCTTTTGTTCCATTTGTTGGTGTTGAGTGGTTTCTGCAAGCCATATTTCTGTGCGTTGGTTTTCGTTTTCAGGGTTCTATATGTAGGTCTGTCAAGGTTTTCGAGATGTGTTCAGGGGCGTCGAGGTATAGTAACCGCGACAATGGTTGGATCTCGGACTAAAGGGTTGTGAGTCGTAGCTGAAGTGCTGTCGTGAATTGCACGGGACTGAATACTGAACAGAACATAACCTCCATCCCGAAATCCTAGGACTTAACCTGGAACTCTAGCAAGTCTAGTACCCGGAGCCCTATGCCCTATACCCTCACATCCGGAACCCCAAGCCCTATAAACTGTAGCGCCCGAAACGTTGCTTACGCCAAGTCCAGACCTTCTAAGCCACAGGAAGCGCCAACAGCGCATACCCCGGATCTAATACAGCGCCAATAGTCAAAAGATCGAGCATGACAATTTCTAGGCCCCTAGAGCCTTGAAGCGGTTTATACAGGCTTTGTTGTCTTTTTAAGGGTTCTACATGGGTTTTACAGGGGGGCGGGGTCGAACGCGGGATTCTCTGCAACAAATGGCCTGCACCTTTTGTTCCTCGCTAGGAGCATAACCGGTTGAATTTCAGAAACCCTACACCAGAAACCCGTCCCCAAACCCCAAATCGTAATCCCAGGACCCCTCCCCCTAAAACCCCTACTTTTAGGAACATTAAGGAGGTTCACGAAATCAAGAGTCCGACCCCCAGAGGACAGCCACCTCGAAGCCACAACAGGTTCCGGCCTGAAACACCGAACCCTGGATCCCTTAAACCAGGGTTTAGGGTTTATACCCTCCGAGGGAAAGCCTAAACCCTGGAAACCCTAAACCCTAAACGCCAAACCCTAAGCCCTAAACCCTAATAAGAAACCCCCAAAGCCAGGGCAACTTAAACATTGCAATGAGGAACAGCGAGCAGCTGCATCCCGAGCTCTTGCAGGCCCAGTGGCTGGCGGCGGGAGAATGAAGAGAGTCAGTGAACATGCAGGTACACATACATACACACATACATATATACACGCACACACACATACATATATATATATATATACATAGATCATGTATGATATGTATACTGATATGTGTACATTAGAATTTGCTTGCTTAATCCATGTAGCTTTGGTTATCAAGGACCTGCTGCGTCATAATGCTTGCTTGAGGGACCACGGGAGTGGTCTTTCTGCATGGAACGAACAAGAAGTCTCTTTATCGGGGCAAACCCCCAAAACCCTAATTCCTAAGCCCTACGCGCCCTAAACTAAGCCCGAATCCAGTGACCCTAAACCCAAAATCCTAGACCCTAATCCTACTCCACTAAACCCCCCTAATTTAAACCCTAAACCCCCAAACCCTAAACTTCCAAACCCCCAAACCCTAAACCCTAAACCCCCAAACCATAAACCCCTAAACCCCCAAACCCTAAACCCTAAACCCCTAAACCTTAAACCCTAAACTCCCAAACCCTAAACCCTTAAACCCTGAACCCTCAGTATTCAGTCTTCATTTTCACTACATGGGGCCCTTCTGAGGCAGACTCCATCCACTCCACTGCTTAGCAGACCCCTAGGTTGACGGTTAGAGCTTTGGGGCCCTAAACCCTGGACGCTAAACTTGGGGTGTTTAGGGTTTAGGGGTGTTCGATGTTAAGGGTTTAGGGATTTAGGGTTTAGGGTTTTAGGTGTTTAGGGGTTTAGGGTTTAGGGTTTAGGGGTGTTCAGGGTGCATCAATCGATTGAACCGGGTGTTTTATGTCCGTTTGAAAAGAGTTAGTTCGTGTAGCGAGATCCGCGAACTCACGTCCCTATCATACTCCCCAAATGCAAGGAGCTCAAGATTCTTCTCGCATGAAGCGAGTGGTCAGACCAATGCCTCCACCCCAAAGATTTCATAACAACACTCTACCCTACCAAACCTTGTAGTATAAACCCTAAGCCCTAAACCCTACACCCTGAACTCTAAGCCCTATAAGCCCTAAACCCTAAACCCTAAACCCCACCCTAAACTTGGACGTAGCTGAGGTGAGAACCTTTTCTTGACGGGCCCGGCTGGCACCGGGACCGTTCTTTTCTTGCTTTGGCTTTGGGTATGTCTCTGGGTTTAGGGTTGAGGGTTGCGGGGTTTAGGGCTGGGCGGAGGCTTTTCATGACTGCCACCTGCAACACAGGGTCAGGGTCTACTAGCAGATTCATGGGCCGTCATAAGCAATGTAAAAGCAACGCTCTCTCCCCTTACAGGTATGTTCAACGCAACTACTATGGGGGCGTGAATTAAGTAGTAGGACTTTACCCTTACAACATCTTACACCCCCTACATCTATGTTTTTCCCCGCAAATCCAGTAAATCCATGTTCCAAGGACTAAGGCTCCTATCTGCCTAAGGAGCCCGTAAGTAGGAGCCACTCAGTTGGAGTGGTCACGAGAGAGGCAGGGAGGTAAGTCTGGCAGGTGGCTTTAAGCCTGGCGAGTGAGCAGCCATCTAGAATCTAGAAGCCTCGACACTGACCGTCATTTGTATGTATGTATGCATGTATGTATGTATGTATGTATAAATATATACATATATATATATGTATATTACATATAAGGACATATAAGTATATATATATACACACACATCTAGACACACACACACACACACAAACTTGATTTTTTATTCGCTTATAAATATGCATGCATATATCCATATACCCATGCATGTATTTACTTATTTTATGCGCTTCCTTACATATATGTATTTACATGTATTTATTTATACACATATTTCTGCATTTACATATTTACTTTGGAATTCACAGGTCAGGTGTCTCTTTCTATTTGTACCCATATTTGTACTTACATTCATACTTCTATCTTCTATCTATAGTTCTTGATTTGCCTGTTTATTCGCTCTTAACTGGTTCTTAGTCCAGAGTTGGGTTCACACGCCAAACCCTAAAAAGTGCACAAGGCCTTACGAGACCCTGAAAACCCGGCTTGTCATCTGCGAGGAAGAGCTTTCTCCTGCGCTTTTTGGTGCAGGAGTTTTCACATCGCCATCCCGGGCAGGCTGGTCCCAGAGTTCGCCGGGGGGTTTGGGGGGGTTATCTGATTATCGTTTACGGTTTTGGGCCAGGTTAACTCATTGACTAAAAGTCACCTTATATGTTTCGGGCCCTTATAAACTTCGGATCTTACTAATTCCAGGGTCTTGTACTTGGGTCCCTTGCTTTCTACACATCTGAGTTCGCCAGTGGTTTGTCTGGGGGGACAAGTGGAAGCTCCCCCCCCCCCAAAAAAAAAAAACACAAAATGTTTCCAGCGCCTGAATACAGAGGTCTGACTGAATAGCTGGTTGTAATGTCCCCTGCCAAAACCCTTTTCCAGTTGTTGAGGACCCCTACACTTCCCTACATTGCACGTGCACGTCTTGTGCTGACGGCATGGGTGCAGGTAGCGGTGACCGCCTCCACCGGAATTGCCGCTGCGCATCTTGGCTAGTTGTGTCTCCCACGACATGCTTCGGCATCTTGCTACTTGAGCATACTTCGGCCTAGTCTTGTCGTAGATTGTTGTAGGAGATTTCAGCATGATCCATGCAAGCCCTGCTCTACACTGGCCTCTGATGGCAGTCATGTAGGCAGTGCGGTTTTGCTTGCATCTCCAGCTGGCTATGTTGTAGGCTACTACATATATCAAACATGCGCGTGTAACGTGTGTCTCTGGTGTCTATGTTCTGCATGTGTCTCCATATAAATATATATATATATACACATACATACATATATATATATGTATATATAGCGAGAGAGAGAGAGGGAGAAAACGAATGTGCCTTCACGTACATACATACATGACATTACACTACACTACATTGCATTACATCACATTACATTGCATTACATTACATACATTAGATCAGGTGACATTAGATTACAGTACATTAGATTACATTACAATGCATTACACCACACTACATCACATTACATTATGTTACGTTACATTACGTTACATTACATTACATTACATACATTACACTACATTACATTACATTACATTACATACATTACAGTACATACAGGGCATGCATTGCATAAGTTACATGCATGCATGCATGCATACATGCATACATACATCTACATCTACACCTACATCTATATCTACATCCACATCTACATACCTTCGCACATGCACACAATTGTGTGTGTGTACATATAAGTAACATATATGTATATATACACACACACACTTGTGCATATGTGAATACAGCCCTCGGAATTCTTGTGCCATATGAAATAACCTGTACCACAGCGTTCAAGTAGCTTTGGCCCTATAGGGCCCCTCGTGGGGGTTGGATCATGGGAACCAGACCTGCAGGGATTGAGCAGCATGGGATCCCTGAACGGTCCCACGACAGACCTGGGGTTCAGGATTTTGGGTATAAGGACGAGTTGCATGGTTTGAGGGTTTCAAGGTCTAGAGTCTTCAGCTTTGGTGTCGAAGTGTTTAGCTTCAAGGGAGTCCCAGGGAATCTGGCTACAAATCGCATGAGGAAGACGGCCTACCGGTCAGAGATCTTGGACAGTCATAGTCAGATGTCTGGTAACGAGGGACCTCCAGTGGTTCAGAGTTTAGGGTTTAGGGTTTAGGGCTTGAGGTTTAGGTATTTAGGATCCACGCACCCTCAACCGACGAACCTAACCCTTAAACCCGAAATGCCCAGCCCCCAACGCTGAACCCTAAGCCCCAAACCCGTAAACTTCCGATCAACCCTACACCCGAAGCCATCAATGAGGCACCTTGGTGGCCAAACAATCCATAGCTTCGCTGGCGTCGGTGTGGGGACAGCGCCGCTGGCGAAAACCCTTCAGCAGGCATCGGTCCCAAAATGGGGATGGGAAGACAGTGTGGGGGTGTGAATAACTACCACTTCCTGTGGATTCCCTAACATATTCACGGTGCAGAAACCCCCTTTTCAGGTTTTGTTCTTTGGATGTCGAGCTGTTTTCGAGCCTTACAACTGGAGTTCGGGTTCCGCGCCCTCGGGTGCATCAGGTTTGAGAGGGTCTTCGGGGCGAAAGATGCAGTGGCGGGGTTTAGGGCTTAGGCTTCAGGCTTAGGGGTTTAGGGCTTAGGATACAGGGTTTGGGGTTTAGGGTGTGCTAATCAGGTCGAAGCCGAAAAGACCGTTCAGTATACTCAAGGCTCCCCTCTTCCCTCCTAAACCCTCAACCCCTCAACCCCTGAACCCCCAAACCCCGAAACCCTTAACCCCCATATCCCCTAAGCCCAAGACCCTTCAGCTCCCTTTGAAGCTTCCTGGGACTCTCTATAACTCTCCTCAGTTGGGTTTGGGGCTTAGGGCTTAGGGTTTCAGGAAGGTTTAGGGCTTAGGGCTTAGGGTTTCAGGATGCTGGGCTTAGGGCTTAGGGTTTCCAGGATGGTTTAGGGCTTAGGGCTTAGGGTTTGCGAAGGAAGGTCAGCTTTTGGTTGGCCGCACATTTCTGGGTCGTCGGTGGTGATATAAGGGTACAGGCACTCGTAAAGGTTCTTCTACGAGGGTTCGAAAAGGGGCAGGGGCAGTTTGATGGTTCTCTGTGTGTGTGTGCATTTAAGGCCATTTAGGGTTGAGATTTCTGGGCCCACGCTGTATATATTTCGGGGGTAGTCCAGGGTGAGGGTTGTTGCGCGTGTGGCAGGGCTTTCTGATTTAGAGAGTTGAGCTTCGCTTGAGTAGATTCGGAATGCACGGATCTTCGACCTTCTGCATCATGGGTGCTGTTTTAAAACGGACTGTTGTGGGTCATATCTTCGTTCAAGTGAAACCTGAACTCCTTACCATCTCAGGGGTGGGCTCACTTCTATCTGGAAGGCACGCAGGACAACAGAGAAACGTTATGAGAAGCTGCGTGCTTTCAGGGTTTGGGGGTCGGGGTACGGTTTAGGCCCCCTCAACTCCAAACCCTAAACCGTAAACCCCTAAACCCCTAAACCCTAAGCCCCTGGGGCAGGGGGTAAGTTCGTCCCACCCAGCAGGTTCAGAGGAGTTCTGCAGCAGTCCAGCGCTGGAAGAGCACCAAGGTGCTGGTTATAGAGCTTCGGCAGCAACAAAGAATGGGTTTAGGGAAAAGGGGCTTCGGGGCTTAGGGTTTAGGGGTTTAGGGGTTTAGGGTTTAGGGGATTAGCGTTCAGCACAGATCCGAATCTTTCGGGGCTAAATCCGTCAAGCCAGGCTCCAAGCCCCATGAGGTCTTAACGGTTTAGGGTTTAGGGCTTAGGGTTTAGGGTTTAGTAAATTTAGGGCCCGTCTCGTGTAGTTGAGAGCGCAGAAGTGTTGGAAACCACCCAGACGTTTTGCGACCCACATGATTTGGAATTGAAGCCTTTCAGTTATATATGCCATACTCGAATCTGTTCTAAAGCCTTGGATTTTGCAGCTCCACGCCTCAAGCCTGGCAACCCATCCACCTTATCAAGGTCATGCCTCAGGCATATTGCAGTGCGTCGAACCTTTCCAAACATGCCCATAGGCCATCATAGGCCCCTAAGTAGTTCCTTTTTGGGATTACCTTATAGGAGTCTGAATATAAACCATAAAAAGGAACTACTTAGGGGCCTATGGGTACAGATGCTGAGTGCAGGGTGCGCAGTAGCGTACATCCACACAGACCCGAGCAGGCAGACTGCAGCGACCTGCCACCCCCATTGACCCTACACCCGAAGCCCTACAAACCCCAGATATGTGTATATGTATATATCTATATATATACATATACATATATACATACATATACATATATACATATAATATATATATATATATACATACAAAGTTGTCTCTGCGACAGCCTGCCCTATAAACCCTAACCCGTCCTATACATCCCCCCGAGTGTCGCCCCCGACCACGCCATAACTCCAACCTTGAGGTCGACATGCCTTCAACTAAGCTACGCTCGACCCGACAGCTCCAACAAAGAAGCCTTCACTTTAAGTTCCGGGGGGCCTGGGGGTCGTAAAACTCGGTGCTTTAAGCCTTACCTATCGAGGTTTAAGCCCCGGAGGCCTTGAATCCGGAACCCGAAAATCTTACGGCAAGAGGACGAAATCTCCATGATCGACGGTGAGCTGCTGGAGTGCTCTGATACTGTCATAGGGCGTCTGGGTCCACCAGGTTCAGGTTCAGGGTTTAGAGCTTGAACTTGATATCTGTGTTGTTTGGGGCCTTTACTTTCGAATGAGGGTAGCTTCGAGTTTCAATGTTTGGTTCTACGGCTTGTGGTACCGTTTTTGGGGGTTGAGCGTTTAGGGCTTAAGACTTGAACTTCTGAACCTCAACTCCATAAAGAACAGTCGAAGTCAGACGCTGGGACTCGAGACCGTAAACCTCACATCATAGAGCGGCCAATGCGAATTTGCATAAAGCGAGCAGAGGCGGCTCTTCGTTGAAAGCTCAGATGAGTCATACGTATGTTTACGTGATGTGATACAGTCACAGGCGTTCTTACATGCATGCCTGCATCCGCGCATAGATCGAGCCATAAACCCTACAGTAAGTGCTAAGCCCTAAACCCAACACACCCTAAAACCCTTAGAGCCCTCAAACAGGACTACACTCCTCAGAGCGAAAGACCTTGATCCCCGGTCCCTCCTGGTGCCCGAGTCCACTCGTGGTAGAGGTGTGACAAAAGCCTCATGCTTCAAATTAGCCTAGGTTCCTGAGTAGTACCCTTTTGCTCTTTTTTGTTTTAGGATCCCATTGTTAAGACCGAATAGTAGGAAAAAGGATGCCCTGACTCCCTAAACCCCAAACACCAAACCTTACAGCCCTAAACCCTAAACCTTAAAACCCTAAACCCGTTCCTGTCTGCGTGAAGCCAACTTGAGGCTTCTTTGCGGTGTGGCGCGTGCCGTGCGGAAGCAGTCGGCTCCCTTTGGCGGTCTGCAGGCCACGCCTTGGATTTAGGGGTTTAGGGATTATAGGGTTTTGGGGTTTATAGGGCTTGTAGGGCTTTTAGGGTTTAGGGCTTGTGGGGTTTGGGGGTATATAGGGCTATTAGGGTTTAGGGCTTATAGGGTTTTGGGGCTTATAGGGCTTATAGGGCTGTTAGGATTTAGGGGTTTAGGGCTTTTAGGGTTTTGGGGTCTAGGGTTTGAGGCTTTTAGGGTTTACGACTTACAGGGTTTTGGGGCTGAAAGGGCTTATAGGGCTTATAGGGCTTGCGGGCTTGCAGGGTGTAGGGTTTAGGGCCTTGAACACCCCAGCCCCGGATGTGAACCCCATAAACTCCCAAAACATCCTCAAAAGCACAGAAGGTCTGAGGCAACGGTTTAGGGTTTAGGGTTAGGGTTACATAGGTTTAGGGTTTAGGGTTAGGGTTTAGGGTTCAGGGTTTAATCACGTTTTAGGGTTTAGGGTTTTTGTTTGGCAGTTTTGCAGTGGGAACACAGCGATGGGGCTCAGTGCACTCGTATGAAGTTCAACGAGGTTGTAAAGAGGTTCAGAGGGTTTCAAATCGAGGCTGAAGGGTGCTAGGATTTTGGATTTCAGGAGTTTACGGCATAGGGACTGGGCCTTATAGGATTTAGGCTTTGGGATGTGAGGCCTTGAGAAGCGCAGGGATTCACGGTAATTGTCCTTCGACAAGCGATGAATCTGAATCTCAGTTGGGATCTGCACTAAACATCCTTTGAACCTAAGCCCTTTCATCACCATTTGCAAGCAAGGACCTCTCCAAGACCTGCACCCTCAAGATATCGTTCGCTGCCACCTGTGTTGTGGCAGCGACGCATAGCCTCCGTGGACCTGGAGCTGGACTATGATGTGGCCGAGGTATCTGCGGCAAAGCCGTCTTCGGGATCATCTTCGAAGAAGAGATTCTTCGCAGCGTCTTCGGCAATGCCGTCCGATGGCAAAGAAAGCACGCTTCAGAAATCGAAGAAGCAAGCGGCCAAAGAGAGGAAATCAGAAACAAAGTTCCAAGAAACAGAATGTGTCATCTGCCGCATCATCTTCGGTAAACCCCAAAACCCCAAGTAAGCCCTAAACCCCTAAACCCTAAAGCCTAAACCCCAAGTAAACCCTAGAACTGCGAGTCCTGAAAACGTGAAGCCCCGAGCTCCAAACTAGAGTCCCAAACCCCAAAGACCTTGGGAGGGATGGGAACGTGCTTTAGGGTTTAGGGTTTAGGGCTTTAGGGTTTAGGGTTTAGGGTTTAGGGTTGATGGTTTAGGGTTTAGGTGTTTTAGGGTTTAGGGTTAAGGGCTTAGGGTTTTAGGGGTTTAGGGTTTAGGGTTCAGGGTTTAGGATTTTCTCACACACACACACACATCGAGGGTTTCGGGGTGTACGGGTTTAGTACTCCGGCTTCCCCGGGTTCAATATTAAAGTCGGCTTCGGGTGTAGGGTTTTTAGGGTTTGAGGCCTCTTGGGGGGGGTCCGGATTTTAGACTTTCGTCCTCTAGCCAACCTGAGTCCCTTGCCAAGACCCGATCTTTGAGGCTTGCAATCCCACCAAGCCCGCCGTCCTTTAGGGTTAGGGCGGTTAGGGTTTAGGGTTAGTTAGGGTTTAGGGCATGGTTCTGTGGCAGTAGCCTAGCCGCCTAGCCTGACTTGAAAGATGTCGAAGTGCCACCTCCCACCCAACGAACAAGGTAGCACACGCATACTGTACCCAGACATATGCAGTCAAAGATTCATATATGGTCATCCTCCTGCGGCCCCCCTTTTATGCATACCCGAATACGTAATCCAACTATCTATGTATCTTTCTGTCTATTGAAGTGGTCTATTGCTCTATCGATCTTTCCAACTGTCGATCCATCTCTCTGTCTATCTATCTATCTATCTATCGATCTACCTACCTGCCTATCTTTCTTTCTTTCTGCCTATCTCTCTATCTACCTAGCTATAGATTTGTCTGTCTCTCTATCTGTCTATCTCTATCTGTCTCTATCTGTCTGTCTGTCTGTCTATCTATCTGTCTATCTATCTGTCTATCAATCAATCAATCGATAGACTTATCTTGCTATACCTGTCTGTCTAGCGATTAGTCTGTCTGTTGATGTACCTATCTATCGATGTACCTATCTACTGTGTACTGATGTACCTATATATCCATCTGACGACCTGTCTAGCTGTTTATCCATCAAAAGGTGTAACTAGTTTTCTATCTATAAATCTTCCTGCCTACATATATATATATATATACATACACACACACACCCCTACCATTGCCTATCTACAGTCACTAGTCTATCTTTCTTTCTTTCTATCGATTTGTCGATCTGTCTGCTTATTCGGGGCATCGACTTCTTGCACCTGAGTGTTTGTGCGCGTGAAGACCCGCAGCCCGCTTCAGGGGTCTAGGGGAGTTCGGATTGAGTCCCGCAGCGGGAATTTCGGGCTCAGGACTTTCGGAGGCGGCCCTTCTGCCTGCAACTGCCCCCCCCCCCTCCCCCACCCTGAACCAGACCCCAAAACTTCAACTTGAGCCCCAAATTTTTCGTAGTTCAAAAAGCAAGGATCATGTAGGCCCGCATCGTGGAGGTGCTTTTCTGTGGTGATTTCTTGCAGCTGCCGCCGGTGCAGGCTCCCCGTTCGGATTCGGAGTCTTCTTTCAGTTTATCGTTTGGGTTGACATAGGGGGCTTAGGCTATATAGGGTGGTGCATTCAAGGGTCGGGCTTGTGAGGTGCGATCAGGGTTTTGGATGTCTGTTTCGATTGCAAATAAATGCTCTTCTGAGTTACCTTTGTGGGGTGCACTTTGCACTCATGAGTGGCCCTAAACCCTAAACCCTTAAAGGACCTCTTGAGTCGAGCGCTTCATGTGAGCACTTCACTCCAGACAAGAACAGGAACAGGAATCTTATGCCCTTCCATTCCCTCTAGCCATATATCGTGATGGACCCAAAGTCCTATCCTAATTATTAGGGCCGCTATACTGGCAGGAGAGGGGCAAGCTGGCGCGGAAATTCTGCTTCGCCTCTTCTGCTTGGAAGAAGGTTGCCGGACGGGAGTCGTGGGGTTGGTTTGGTTATGCTATATGGAACCTTACACGCAAACATCCTCAACAAACCTGAGCCCGAAACCCCTACATATGAACATAATCCTAAAAACCCCTAAACCCTAAACCCGGCTTAGATGTAAAACTTGAAGTCTGAAAGACAAAGTTCCCAATTCCAAAACCCAGACGTCGCTTGCTGGTTGTAGCTGGGCTATCATTTAAGTAGGATCGCCCCAGTTAGGGCATGACACTGTTTTCCAAGTCCCTAATAGCTCCTTCATCTGTTAACCCTTTTGCATTCATGAACCCGCAAATCTAATTTCTTACACGCCCAAAATTGCCAATAACTCTCCATGAGGAGCCCTGTAAAGCCCACAAAAGACACAAGGTAACCCTGGGCTCCCAGTATACGAACAGTCAGTTCTTTGGGTCTGATTTCTAAAAAATGGTTCCTACTTTGGGTCTACAGTCTATAAATATGTCATATTCTGGGTCCAATGTCTATAGATAGTAGCTACTTCGGGCTATTTCAAGCCCAACCAAAGAACTGACCGAAGCGTCTCCAGGGCTCCAGGAGTTGGCGGCGCTTGGGGCGGGCGTTTCAGAGTTTAGGGATGTTTAGGGTATGAGGGGATGAGGGTTTAGAGGTTTACCTCGAGTCTCCATTGTAGTTCCTTTTTTGGTTTAACCAATTCTATATTAAGGATCCTAAAAGGTAACCCCAAAAAGGAACTACAATGGAGACTATAGGTAGGGTATTAGGGAACTGGGGTGGTGTCGTATGCCCGACAGATTTCGCCCTGATCTGAGCCAAGTTTCGGTCTTCCCAGGAGCCGGGGCGAAGTCTTCGGGCTCGTTGGGGCTTCGGGGGGGCTACGTATCGTTGCGGTTGACACTTTGGCCCGTTATTTGGGAAACCCCAAGCGGTTTAGGTTTTAGGGTTTAGGGTTTAGGGTTTAGGGTAAGCCCTAGAAACTTTAAATGGAGGCAAGGCACAAGATACCCTAAATCCGCATGGGTTTCGGAGACAGCTCAGCGGGATGGTTTTCTGAGATCCCAAACCTCAACAGCCTTGGGTTAAGGCCCTAAGCCCTACATCGTAAGGACCCTACTGTAGACTCTCCAGCTAATGCCCGAAACCCTAAACCCTAGGTGGCACCCTAAGCTCTTCACCAAACCCCAGAAACAGTTTGGAAAAGTCGCATAGAACCTTCTCAGCGATTTCATAGACCTCCAAAATTCCTAACGCACCAACACTTCCGAAATCTCGTTTAAAGACTTAAAGCCACTCCCAAAACCGGTCAACATTCCCGAAGGCGGGCTTGCATGAGGGCACGGTGCTTCTATGCCAAACAGTGCGGCAAGCATCGGACGTCCAGTTCGGGAAGGCACCATTCGGTTTAGTAATTCGGGGTTAAGGGTTTAGGGTTTAGGGCTGTGTTTTCTTATGTGGTTGCTCTAGGGCCTTGGCCTTTAGGCTGTGGCTTTATGGCTTGACGGTTCAGGGCCATGTCCAGAGGTTACAGAGTTTACAGCCTGCTGTGATCAGTGGAACTTTCTAGTCCTAGTTGTGTCGCAACTGCTGCCATGTGCATGGTGCAGGTTCTCAATGAGTCGCTTGGTGGCACGTGGCGTTGTTGTCACGGTTGTGATTGTAAGAGCTGCCGCAGCTGCTTATCCTGTTGCTACAGCCTTGCATTCCTGTGCTTATTCCAAGACATAGTGCAGACACCCTAGACCCCCAACCCTAAACCCTAAACCCAAGACCGCTGCACCCTAAAACAAAGACCTAAACCCTAAACCCCTAAACCCTAAGCCCGCTCGTCGACATGAGGTTGAGGATAGGGCACGTTTCTGACGAAGCGCGGGAAATGCTGGCAAAATGTCACGCCACTCGGCTGAGAAATGAGCACTGCATGGTGAAATCAGGACTGTTTGTGGTGGTTTCGCAATCGTAACAGGCTAGGTCTCGAGTGTGCGGGGTGTTATGCTTCGTATATTTTCGCAATTATCCATTTCCTTTTTGGGATTGCCTTATAGGATTCTAAATAGAAACCACAAAAAGGAACTACTTAGGGGCCTATGGGTATGAAGAACTCCTACAGCCGTCCAAAGTAGTTCCGTTTTATGGTTTATATTTAGAATCGTATAAGGTAATCCCAAAAAGGAACTACTTAGGGGCCTGTGGGTAGTTTCTTTGTCAGGAGCCAGGTTTAACGATTAGTGGTCATGAAGCCCTGAAACCCTCTAAACCCTAAACCCTAAACCTATGCCTCAAACATGATTATCCAAGTTGTCGCCAGCTGCAGCTTAGGTCTGAACTCAGACGTTTCCATGGGCTTGAACGTCCTGGATATATGGGGAGTTTCCGAAACTAAGGAACCCTAATATAGTACCCTAAACAGTAGGATCCTTATTGTAAGGACCCCAAAATAAGGTACCCTAATCTTCGGAAAGTCCCATATGGGCTCCGGAAGATAAGGCTTCGTAACAAAAACGGCAAAGCCACCTCGAACCCCACACATGACCTCGGGTCCCTTATCCTAAGGGTCCATGTACCCAAATAGAGATACTTAGGCCTTAAAGTAGTCCCTACATGGGTACTTTAGGGTCAAAGTATACTCATATGGATACATGGACCCTTAGGGTTACTGTCCTCCCACACCTCCCTTAGCGGATTTCGGCTTGCTCTTGCCATCGGTTTCTTTCCTGTCGAGCCTTCAACTACCGGCATTGATACTCAGAGTACGTAGGGTTCTTGGGGGCTGCTCCTGTTCGAATTATATAGGGACTATAGGGGACTTCTACTACCAAGTATTCCGACCTCTACGTTCATGGACAGCTGTGGGTAGTCGCAAGGCGCTACTTCAAAGCAGAGAGGCCGCTTAAGCCCCAAGCCCTAGACCTTAAACCCGAAACCCTAAACCCTAAGCCCTGCACCCTAAACCCTAAACCTTAGACCTTGAACCCAAAACCCTAAACCTTAAACCTTATAAACCCTAAACCCTAAACCCTGCACCCTAAACTCTAAACCTTAAACCCTGAACCCTAAGCCCTAAACCTTAAACCTTGAACCCAAAACCCTAAACCCTAAACCCTAAGCCCTAAACTCTGAGCCCTAAACCCTAAGCCCTAAACCCTAAGCCCTAAACCGGCAAAACCTCTCAAGGTTGGTGTGAAGTCGCAGCCCAAAGATGGCATTCTTCCAACGTGGCTGGAATCAGAAATGCTGGTTTAGGGGTTGGAGGTTTAGGGTTTGGGGTTTAGGGTTTAGGGTTTGGGGCTTAGGGTTTAGGGCTTAGGGGGTTTAGGGGTTCAGGGTTTAGGGTTTAGGCTCTGGGGTTTTGAGCGGGCTTCAGGGTGTGGGGCCTACTGTAGGGCTGATACAGTTGTAGTACGTTATTATACAAAGACTCCCAAGTGCGGATCCTTTCAAAATAAAGACCCCTAGTGAGGATTTTTATTAAATCATAGTAAAAGATGATATACTGTAGTAAAATATAACGAATTTTATATACCTATCTACCTATCTATCTATTTGTCTATCTGGCTGTCTATCTATCTAACTAACTAACTATCTATCTATCGATCTGTTTTTGTAAATTATCCACTAAATACATGTGTGTATATTTATTTGTATGTATGTATGTATGTATGTATGTCTGTATGTCTGTATGTATGTATGTATGTATGTATGTATGTATGTATGTATGTATTGTATTGTATTGTATTGTATTGTATGGTATGGTATGGTATGGTATGGTATGGTATGGTATGGTATGGTATGTATGTATGTATGTATGTATGTATGTATGTATGATGTATGTATGATGTATGTATGTATGTATGTATGTATGTATGATTATGTATGTATGTATGTATGTATGTATGTATGTATGTATGTATGTATGTATGTATGTATGTATGTATGATTATGTATGTATGTATGTATGTATATATGTATGTATGTATGTATG